ACAATATCTATTGCTATGATGGATTATCCAAGGATATTATATCAAATAGGGGAATTCAATTTATATCAAGATTTTGGCGGACTCTTTTCAAGATTCTAAAAGTGGATATAAAACTATCTTTGGCATTCCATCCTCAAATTAATAGACAAATAGAGCACGTTAATCAAGTTTTGGAGCAATATTTAAGATGTATCATTAACTACCAACAAGATTATTGGACAACTCTTTTGCTATTGGCAGAGTTTGCTTACAATAACATGATACATTCTTCTACAAAACAAACACCTTTCTTTGCTAATTATGGTTATCATCCATGACTTGATACTTTTAACTTTTCAAAAGTTGATAATCCTACTGCAAAAGATTTAGTAATTTATTTATTAGAGCTACATGCGATGATGAAGGTGAAGTTAAAAGAAGCTCAAGAACAACAAAAGATCAATGTAGATGTCTTTCGAAAGGAACAACCACCATTCCACATGGGTGATAAGGTATGGTTACTTCGTCACAATATCAAGACCACTTGTCCTTATGACAAGTTGGACTATCAGAGGCTTGAACCATTTTCTATTTCTACACAAATCAATCCAATTGCATATCAATTATACCTATCGGAGTCAATGAAAATCCATCCAGTATTCTACGTGTCTTTTTTTGAACCATACAAGACAATGGATATACCAAGAAGAAGACAAGCTCCACCTCCTCTTATAGAAGTGGACAATAATGAAGAGTTTGAAGTAGAAGAAATCTTAGATTCAAGGCGGCGTCGAAATAAATTAGAATATCTTGTCCATTGGCGTAGATATTATAATAGTGAATGCACATGGGAGCCACTAAAGAATCTTACAAATGCAGCAAAAGCAGTGGAGGCTTTCCATCGACAACATCTATCAAAATCAACAGAAAAACCTTCTTTATAAAAGAAACAAGATCTAAGCAAGATAACATTCTACTTTCAATCTTTGTTTGTAGCTTCTTTGTAGTAGTGATGCTAAGGAGATGGAGAATTAACAATTAGCAGATTTGACTCAAGAGCCTTCATTTGCTGACCTACCGGATGAGACAATACAATTGTTACAATCTTCAAGACAATGTAATTGAGATGAAGATCTTCAAGAATGACATATTCTTCTTCAAATAGATGGCGAGAAACAACACGTTTGATATCACAATCTTGGAAGGGACTCCCAATGTTTGGTAATTTTACTAGAGGTAGGAACAATTCCTAATGGTATTGCAAATATTTTATTCGTAGGAAGTTATGAAGACCTCTACAACAATTAAATAACTGGGTGGTCTTTTTGCCTTGGTATAAAACACTGTCGATGGTTGAAAGGCCCTATCAATCATCTTCGAAGAGAAAAAAGATCAGAGTATGTGGCAAATACAGTTCGTTGCATCATAGATTTCTTCAACATATGATTACCGCTCCTTATGTAACTCATTCCTAAAAGGGAGGGTAATGTCACGGACATATGCATGTAAGCCAGTAATTACATGTATAAATATGTAGAAGTAAGTAAAATTAGATAAAAATAAGTTAATTCTATAATATTTTCTATGAAAACTTCCTAGAAGATTTATTTGACTTTATAGGTGTCTTTAATTGACTTTTTGGATTAGAAACGTGGTCAACAAGTTGGCCATGTGCCACACATATTATTAGCTTCAAGACCAAGTTAACTATGTAGCGCACATGTAGAAAAACTTGCCTTGTAAGTCAAGGCATGTGTCCTACAAAGTCAAAACATATTGGAGGTCCTATAGAACATTGCCACGTAGCTCCTAGTTAGATAGTATATATAGAGACAAGAGTGAAGCTTTCTTCACTCTTGTCAATTCTTTTCTTGCATCTAGTCTAGTTTGAAGGGTCTCTAGTTTTCTTAGTTTTTGGCAATAGCCATTCCAATTTCTTTCTTAATATACTTATCAAGTTATTTCTATTTTATCATCTTTCTTTGAGAGAAGTTTTACTTGTTTATTTGTTTTTATCATATTCTTGTACTTCACAATAGCTCATATCTCACAATTGGACCGTCAAAACAAATCCAAATTTTGTATGAAGTATTGATGTATTTTTAACAACTATGACAACAAGTTTCAACTACTAATTTGTTAAAAATCTCAAAATATTACCAAAACCCTAATAGCAGCTTCAAATCCTTATTTACATACACCCGTATACAAATTTCTTCATATCTCACAAAATAAGTACTAAAATACCATAAAATTTTGATATATAGCTTCTCAACCTAATAACACATGCTTTTAAAAATTTTGAGCCAAAAATTCACCTAAAAACTCAAGATATGGCTCCAACTATTACTATCAACAAAATGACTCACTTACTGCCTTTGAATTACTTATGTTGTCATTAACACTCTATAACTCCTTCATAAAAACTCCAAATGTAAAAATTCTTTCTCAAAAGATATAGATCTTAAAATCACCATTGCAGCTATTTCTCTCCATCTCCAAAAACTATCATAAAACTCCTCATATCTTCAAAATAGCAATAGTATGTCTTAAAAAGTTACTTTAACTTCAAACAACTATAACGTCATCACCTTAACTCCAAATCCTCTAAAATTTGTACAAAAATTGTAGCCCAAACTCTAAATCTTATAACCTTTGCTTTTGATTCTTGAATACTTCTTCTAAAGTTGCCAAAATCCTTGTTATGATCGTAGACAACTTCCTAAATGCTTATTGGATATGGCCTTTGACCAATAGGAATAAAGATCTTTACTTTTAGCCTTCATCCATCCATATCTTGCTTTCATCCTTCCCAACAAGTTTTTTAGAGGTTTGGATCTTCATCTTTGAGCCCTAATTTTTTCCTTAAATTTTATACTAAATATTTTTATCATATACATTTTAAACATTATAATCAACATAGGTAAACCTCAAAATAAATTTTCTTACATCAACTCTCTTTAAATTAACCTATTAACCACTCTAAAGTAAATTAATACTTATAAATATATTATCTATTTAAGTTAACTTTACATACTATAAAAAATTACAATACGACACCATCCATTTTATATTATGTTTCATAGGAGTTATATACTCTATTAACAATTTAATCCATGTTTATTAATCTATATTTATTCATAAATTAAATAACTTCTCATATAATAATTTTAATTTAATTTAAAATTATATATATATAATTAAATTACTTTTAAATTTTATAAATTTTAAGATTTATTGGTATTTTATTAAATAAATATGACTTTCTTTTACTAAAATAAAAATTATAAGATAAGATATAAGGTCAAGCATATAAATATTTAGAAGATTCTAAAGATTTTCAAAAAAATTAGAAGATGTTTAAAATAAAACTTTGTTTTATAATCAAAATACATTAAAGTATAGCAATAAATATAAGACCTTAAAAATTCATTGATTTTTTTTTTCATCTAATGTAATTAAATCCATATATATATTTAATAAAACTAAAATTATTATTAATATATATATATATATATATATATATATATATATTAATAAAATATATTATGAGATGTAAGATTTTTGGAATATTTTAAGTAGATTTGAGTAAAGAAACAAAAAAAAAGATTCATAAAGATAAAAAGAAAATGAATAATTTCATTCCAAATAAGACTGTGTTATTGTGCATTATTAGTTTCTTATCAATAAAACAAAATTCTCTTTTATTCTAAACTAAATAATTTTGTTCACAATTTGTATATCTAATAGTGAATAACATTGATATGTTTAATATTATATATTGTGTTTTGATTTTGTCAATCCTATAATACATTTTAAACTATGATTAAAAAAAAAAAAAAAAAAAAAATGTATACTTTTAATTGACTTCTTAAATAATACATAAAAATTTAAAAATTAAACTAAAACTATATAAAAATAAAAACCTGCGTATTTCATTTTTAAGTCTAAAATAATTCAATAGATTCAATAATTCTAAGAAAAATTACAATATTTTTTATGCTAGTGAAAATTTTATGTTTTTGGATTACATTGTTTAGAAAAATACATATTTAAAATATGTATTTTTTTTAAAAATTACATAACATGTATTTTTTTTAAAAATTACATAACATGTATTTTTTTTTAAAAAAAAATCTTAAATAAAATAAATTCAATTTAAGACGTTTAAATATTTTTGTAGAGTATCTTTATTAAAAAATCTTTATTTACATTTTTTGATTTTTTTATATTGTTCATGTTACTGATCACATTTGAAAAAGATTTTAGCAATAAAAATTCAAAAGAATATTTTGTAATCAAAAGACACTATATATATTAATTTTTTTTGTAATTACAAAAAAACTCTTGAATTATTACTTTATACTTAAAATTAGTTGAAATTTTATTTAATATTATTAAATTATACGTATTGAAAATGCTTAAAAATTCATGGTTAATCTTATTCATAAATTATTTAATTAAATAAAAATTATATGTATATGTACATAAATATATATATGTAAATAAATATATCTATATATATATATATTCGGTTTCAATTGTTTATAAATAACCAATATAAATTTTAATATTAGAATAAAATTTAATATTAGAGACAATAAATTTTAATATTAGAGACAATAAATTTTAATATTAGAGAAAATAAATTTTTATTTTCTCTACAATAATAGAATCCCAAATATTCAAAGATTTTATAAAATCATACTGTTTCTTGTGTATCACAATCTCCCACTTTAAAGTAAAGACAATAATATTAAAGTATATATATATATATATATATATATATTCTTTAATTAATCTAATTATATATATTTGATTTTTTGAGACATGGAAAGATGGAAATTCAGATGCTAGCATCCAAAAAAATTAATTAATTAATTGATTTTTAGATAGAGTTCGTTTCCCGAGGTTGCTCTGTACAGTCCACAGTGGACTGAACGAAGATCCGTCACAGTTCGTTTCTGTCCGTCATCGTCCGTCGATTGCAGTTTTTAACTCTCATTCTACATCGCCTCCTTGCGGCGTTAGTTCCCTCCCGACTGACTGAAAATCCCCAAGGACGGTGGACTCTGCTGCGAATGGGCACATGGGGACTTGGGGCAGTCTAATTTGTCGATCTATCACACACCCATATTATGTTTTTCTCGATTTCGGAGAATTCAACTTTGTGGGTTGACGGCATGGGTGCAAGAGCTGGAGGCGTTGTGCCGGAATTGGAGCTCGTTGCTGCACACCGTTGCTTGTAAACAGCGTAGTTACTTGGAAAACGTGTGGAATCTGCTGGGATTCTGGAGTGTTGGGTTTGTTGCAGTGCTCGAGGAGATGCTTAGGTCTGTGATTACGAAGCGGCGGGTTTTCGGGATGAATTTTGAGGCATTAGGTTTCTGTCATTATATTTGGTGAGCTGACTCACCTTTATCTGGTGCGTCTTTGTTATACTATGGTTTTGTTGCATTACTAGCCAACTCACATAATAGTGGTGGAATTTTACCTTAATGGTGTAGGGTTTGCGTTATGGCGGTAGGATGAGGTTTGAGAGTATGATGTATCAGATACCTGCAAATTGATAGCCCTGGTGATTTATTTGCTCTTTCAATAAGCTGGGTTATCATCGTACCAGGAATTTCCCGTTGGTGGATTGGCGGTAGAAGGCGATGTGCGCTTTGGTGCTGGCAAAGAATGTGCGTGATGTGTTAGAATCCTGCTGTTACAGAGGGTGGACAGAGTCTTGTGCTATGATAGTTTAGAGGAAGTTGGGAGGCTTTTGCAGGGTATTCCTGAGTGAACAATCGAGGAGCAGGTCAGAATGGAAGTACCTGTGAAGGCTGATGATGATGTTCAACTCTCACATGAACCTCTAGTTGTAGCTGAAGATGTCGAGGGGACACATGAAGTTTCAGAAAATTCCCCGGAGCCTCACCTCATCGCTAAAAACAAGGAGATTGAAACCGAAGTCTTAGAAACATCACCTGAAGTTCAAACTGCAGATGAAGAAAGAAAAACCTTGTCTGAACCGCAAACTGAAAACGAAGTGGCAGTGTCACGGCCATCCTTGGAGTCGGTATGGGAATCTCTGCAATCTGCAGCAGTTTCACAGTCTGCATCTCTCGATCCCCAAGATGCAAGTCAAGAGAAAGGGACAGTAGGTGAAGATTCACAACTTTCACCTGAACCTCAGAGGATACCTGAAATCACGGGGAGGAAGCCAAGCGCTTTACGTACTCGAACTAGTAATCGTGTGAAGAGGAATGTAACTTTCAAGGATGACTTCGAAAAACCAGAGGAGCCACGGGTTCAGAAGTCAGGCAATCAAAGACGAGATGGAGAACAGTGGCAGAAAATTCCACTTGGCTGCGTTGGACTTCTCTTGTCTGTAGCTCTCGCTTTTCTTGTTGTGTATATGGCCACACCAAGCATGCCTACGAAACCTGTAAGCGATCACCACTCTAAGTTTGTGCTGTTGTCCAGGGGACGTTGTGTGCGTGTCTCGTCTCTTTTCTCCAAAATTGCAGAACTACTTCATTGTCGTGCGAGTCTTTCAGGACGATTTTTCATAGATTTATGGTACAAGATATGATCCAGTGATTGTTAACAGTGTCTATAACTTTGAGGAATCTGTTGTTACCGCGGTATTCGTTGAACTACATTAAAGCCTTCTGGCATTGCTCTGTTTTGACGTATGTAGTTGATTCTTATTCCATATTTGTAGAATGATTTATTTGGGATAGAACTTGAAATTGAATGTTTAATACAAATTGTTAAAGTAACATGAAATTTCCGAGTTTGTATTTTTGCTTCAAATCGGCAGGTTTACATCATCTGCTATCTAGTGTTTGCTGAAAACAAGTGTTATTGTTTATATTTGCAGCGAATCTGGACAAGTGCAGAACTAGAAAAATACAACGGGACTAATAACAAACCTCCTGTACTTCTGAGCGTTTTGGGGTAAGGTTTCCCCTTTTCCCTCTGAATTAGCTCTTTTTGATGTCTATTCAAATCTACAGTATTTCACATTTGGTTAGCATGTCCGGTCGCAGTAGAAATGTTAGACTAAACAGACCGCAGATTTCTCTGTGTTCTTTTATATTAGAATCTTACGAAGTCATTTCCTCTAGAGTATGAGAGTGAGTTGCAAATTTCTTTACTGATTATGTTTAATTATTTTTACGTCCAGGAATGTCTTTGATGTCAGTAAGGGTTGGAAACACTATGGACCAGGGGGCAGCTACCACCACTTTGTGGGAAGGTGTGTTTTTCGTGTCATTTATTAACTTTTGACTGTCCCTATTTTCTCTTTTTCAGTAACCTTTTCAGATCCTTAACAGATTGTGTTTGGCTTTGACTATGCTTTGGGCATAGTAACATGCCACTTGAATAGACCAGGAATTGTTCATTACTGGTTCTGCCGTTTATGGCTCGTTCTTTTTGTTTACTTCACGAGATGACGACACCTTGATACTTCTCTCCTATTTTTTTGTGCATCCAGGGATGCGTCTCGTGCGTTCGTCTCAGGAAACTTCACTGGTGAGCAGTTATTTTAGATTCTTCATTTTAGATTTTTTCATCACAGTGCTAATTCTTGTTTGGTTTAAAGTTTCTGTGATTCTGTTCAATAGATTCATTAAATGCTGAGAATGATCTTGGTTCATCTGCACTGAAGCTCCTGTAAGATAGGGGACGCGTCGTGGTGAGCGTTTCAGTGAGTCTGAATGGTACAGTTGCTGTGTTTGTGGTTCGACAGATGATGGACTGACAGATTCTTTAGAAGGTCTTACTCCGTCAGAGGTGAGCTTGGATTTAACATCTCTGATGTGTAAAACACTGGCTCGTGAAGTTTTCCTTATTAGCAAAGCCCTTATCATGTGGTCTGCGTTGATTGTGGCTTGGAACCTGATAGCATAGCTTGTATTTGCAGATCAAGGCTATTGATGATTGGAGATTGTTCTTTGTCAAGCGCTACGTGTAAGGATTCTCTTTGCAGCTCGTATAAACAGGCTGGATGCCATATGGTTTTCTGGTGCGTTGTGTTTTAACTCGTTAAGTTTTCTTTAACGCTAAATTTTATGAGTTCTGCGATTGCAACAGTTACTTGGGAAAGCTAGTTGGATCTTTTTACAACAAAGATGGATTACCAACCAAAAAGTTACATTTAGCGGAGAAGAAGATAAAGCAGGCGTCGAAGATTGAGAAACAACAAAAGTTTGATGAAGAGCGGTTTCCAAATTGCAATTCTAGGTGGACTCAACACAAAGGCGGAGAGGTATATATATAAATCTGCATACATTTCTCTGTAACATATGTGTACTATGTAGAGTTTGAGCTTTGTACTACATGTATGCGCATTTCATACGTCTAAGCTGGCTTATGAATCCTGAAAATGCAGGTTTGGTGTAACGATGGCAAGTACCCACGCATTGTTGAGTTGATAACAGAGGGGCCCAGGAGAGGTCCTCCACGAACACGATGCGCATGCCTGGAGGGAGATGAGCTCCAGCGCCCAGGTGTGAAAGAATATGACGGGTGTGATGCCCGACTTAGCAAGTGTGAGACATAATCACTGGCATTATGTATTATAGCTGACAATACCGTTCATGCTCCAGTCGAAGCCTAGAACCATGGTAGGCATTGGCATTGGCATTGGAATTTGCTGGAGGCTAGACTCTCAGCGCTTTGGTGGAATTCAAGAAGACGCCGTGAAACTAGACAAATCATCCTGCCATGTAAGATGGAAGCTGCAAGATGACATAGTTTTCAATCATATTTGATTGTACCTGGGTACCGCAGCATCTGGGTCAATCCTCGGTGTCATAGCTGTGGCTTTTCTTTTCGTTGGAGACCTGAAGCAAGTGGGTTCATGTGTGGAAACTTACGTCCTGCTTGGTGCTGATGGGAGAGAATGTAGATGCACAGTAATATTATCACTGGGAAGCATGTGAGGCAATGTAGATTGAAACGTGCTTCAACCTGAGTGCTAGTTGTCAAATCACCTGTCCCTATGTCCCCATAGTTGATAACATTTGCTTGATCATGATTCGCTCAGAATTCAGAGCTTAGAAGCAAAGAAACTAAATAGTACACTCTCAAAATTGAAGTGATTTGAATGCTTTTCATTTGAGATAGCCATTTCAAATGGTCTCGTAATCAAGAGAATTAAATGATATGAAATGAAATCTCAGAGGGCGCTACTATCATGTGGGGTTTAAGGGTTTAGAGGGCTGCTCACACCGTGACGGCTGTGGCTGGAAGGTTTCTTAAAACAATTGCTTATAAGTCTCCTGTTGTCACAGAAACCTACTCTACTACTTTACTGATTTTAGATGTATTTTCATGTTATTTTATTTTATTTTTTAAGTGTTTCTATTTTGGCACCAGTGAAAAAGTAAACCAACCCATAGATAGTACGCATACAAAATGAAATTACAATTATTGCAAATCTCGGTACTTTTTTTAGGCATTTTTTCTTTACTTTTCTTTTCTTTATATAGTTTTCTATTTCTTTTTCTTTTTCTTTTTGTCGTTTTTTTCTCCTTCCTTTATTCTTGTTGTTCTTAAAAGAACATGGTGTGTAAGTATAAGAAGAATAAGAAAAGTAAACAAGTAAGCAAAAATAAAATTTTGTGTTATGAAAATCTATAAATTAAATAGTGATACCAGGGATCATTTAAACCATCTGTACATGACTTGTAAAAATTGGAAACAAACATATTTATTGGAACCTATCAAAATTTATTTATTAAAACTCAATAGAATAAGCTAACTTAAATATTTCGGAGTATAGATGTATGATTTTTACTATTTATCAATAATTATATCACATTAATGTAATGTTTATTCATCAATAACTAGATTATGTAATGTTTCATCTACAATAATATCTTTTTGACTGTTATTCATCTCAAAATTAACATAAGTCAAATAAATATGAAAATAAAAAAAAATTAAAATAATTTTAAGGCATATTGTTTCAAAAAACTGAAATTGATATGTACAAAACACTAGAATTGACATCAACCAATTGGATAAATTAAGTAATTACATATATTTTCAATCTTATTGCAAACTATGTGACTAAAGTTTACATAATCTAGATTATAAAGCATTTGTAATTGTTGTTATTCTACACTTTTTATACTTTGTTTTATAACATTTATAGGGGGTGATATATTCATATCCCATTTCTCATATATATATGGCTAGGGGGGTGTGGCTTTAACAACATTCAGGTGTGGCTTTATCAACTCCCTATGTTTATATATACATATAGTAAAATTTTGTGAAATTTATGATATTTATATAAATAATATTAGTAAACATCTTTCAAAAAAGAAGTATAGAGTTACTATAATTGAAAAATAAGCGTTTGAAAGTATCAGTTGTTTAAAAAAAATTAAGAAATAAAACATGTCATAATTCATAGAGTGCATCTAATTTTGAAGTTATTAATTTTTTTGAAAGAACTTACCCTTCCTCAGAAAAAGGCTCAGAGAGCTTTTTTCTGAAACCGGGCACCTGAATCAACATTTTTCTTTTCGGGCAGGTTAGCCCACGGGCACCTGACACGACTATGCAGAGTTTCAGAGCATTAGGGCTTCGGAGATCAATTTCTCTTCGTCGTGTTTACCATTTGCTTGCAATTCGATTTGTGGGTTTTGTCGTCCGGGGCCTGGTTGATCGGTAGTCGCGTGAATCATTGAGACGAAGCGCGCTGGAATGTGGGTTTGGGGCGAATTCGTCTGGTAATTGAAGATGGCAGCGAAGCTGATCGCAAATTTGATTGTGCTGGGGTCGGGGATAGTGCTCAGGGCCGTATCGCAAGCGTACCGGCAAGCCATCGTGAATGCCAGCAAGACGGGCGTGGCGCAGGAGACGGTGCAGAATATGGCGCACAAGGTGAGCAAAACGATGACGGAACACGAAGCCAGGCAAATTCTGGGGGTCAGGGAAAATGCAACATGGGAGGAGGTGGTGAAGAAGTACGACGTGATGTTTGAGAATAATATGAAGGCCGGGTCGTTTTATCTCCAATCTAAGGTGTTCAGAGCGAAAGAGTGTCTGGAGGCTGCTAGACAACAAACGGAAGGGCAGGAACAGGGGCAGTGATGCTCTGTCATCACTGGCTTTTCTTAGGAATTAGTGCTTTACCTGGCTGCTTTATGTACATTTGGTATGTCGTAACCAATCTGTGCGGGTTAAAACAGAAATTCTTGATGCCGATGCGTCTGCGATCTTGCTCTTCAATTCCGGAACCACATCCCTTGAGGTCTCATTCTTACCCAATGTATATTGGATCTTTATCTTATTTAACAATTTTTCCAAATTGAATAAATTTCCCCTCTTTGATTATTTGGAGATTTCCACACAGTTTCACGCTGCGCTGAAACTTCATGGAATCGTTGTTTGCGCATTTTCATGTCTGGATTTTATTTAGATTCTATGAGTTAATGAATTGGTTGTGCAAGTGAAGGCTTAGCTGGACGCTAGAATCCATCTCTTAGTGCACATACTTTTATGTTATCTCAGCCGTAGCTTCTCAGATGTAACTCTTGAGCCTTTTTTGTTGCAGACTTATATGTAATCAATGACCTGAGGCCGTCCTCCACTGCAGCAAGCTAAATTGCTGATTGTGAGCTGAAATTCAATTTGACACCAATGAACGTTACTATACCCTTGACATATTTAGTGGCCGGTCAAGTCCTGAACGCTTTCGTATACGATATGAAGTTGCAACAGTTCAAAGATTTGAACCTGATATTACTAGTTTTCTTTGTGATCATTTACTCCATTGTGAATGTAATCATTCTGATTGCGCAGTAATAGTAGTCTTCTCCGATATACCAATATAATATTGGTTCCTTGAGCACTCTGCACTTTATTGTCCTCCAGTACAGAATATGTTTCAATAATAGGAACCGCAAGTCGAGCTTTTGGAAGGTGAATTTGTTTCAACCTGTTTGAATCTCTTTATATTGGCATGCTGTATACATTGTGTATGAGCTGTGTACATAATAAGTTACGAATGGAGTGGGCATGTCGCTCTTCCTACAGACTATTTGCCTTCACACAACGAGGGCTTCTCAAACTTGTTGGCCTTGTGCTGACTTGTGGGTTCGAGTCTGTTTGCATCTGTAGTCGCTCTCTTAAGCTATCCTCTGCCGTCCTAATTTCCTTGCATTTCATATCACTGCTTTTGAACTAGGTGATTAGACATACTTATGATTTGGATCCGAAGTATTACGGTTTAAATATTCATATAAAATCAAATTTTTCTAATGACTGTTTTGAGTCATTTGTCTCGTTCTGTGAAAGGTTAAATATTGAGTTCTTGATTTTGTAGGCATTTTGTTAATAAAAGCATGACTTGTTTCATTAAATATGTGACACGGGTTTCAAACTGATTTGTATAATTGGGTGTTGAATTTGATTCACATGATTAATGCATGACAAAGTGGATGTTTTAAATCATAATCCACAATAGATAATTAAAATTTCCAAAATACAATTCTAACATACTTGCCATATAAATAAATAGATAAATATAAATATGTATATATTTAGAAAATATATTCGAAATGCATTTTCTAAATATTTCAATGGAATAGAAATTGTGAACTAATATATATATATATATATATATATAGAATAATTTTAAATGACATTAAAAGAAACATACCATTAATGATATTCTATCTATATGAGTATATATACCTTTAAATAACAATTTTGCTCAAAGTTTGGATGTTATCATAATCTTAACAATTATGGCTATTAAATCAGGACTATATTACATAGTGTTACAAAAATTATTATTCAAATGGTTTTCTACTTTTCTAATTTGTTTTCTAATTTGTAATTTGTTTTCTAATTTGTAGATATTTGATGAAAAGTAGATATTTTGATTAATAAGTACATGCAAAATTTTTTACTTTTTGGATTTATTTTTAATTTTAACATTTAAAATTTGAACTAAGTTTTATGTTATATCTTTTCAATTGTTTTAGCCAACATGTTATTTATATTGCTATGGCTAAATTTTACAAGATTTTAATATAATATATCAAGATAGAATATAGCAATGGAATATTTTCAAGTAATATATACTAATATGATTATTGAATAAGCTTAATATCAATTCATTGTAGGTCCTCAATGTGGTTTTTAAAATATTCTATAACACTAATCACTGTAGCACTTAACAAAGGATTATTATAACAATCTATAGTTTAGATTATTTATTTATGATCAATTCATGCTAATCTTAAGAAGATTTTCGATTCTATTTTTGATAGTTCTTTTAAATATGCCAATGTATCTTATTATCTTTCTTTTGATAATATTAGATCTTATTTTCTACAAAAAAAATAAAATGAATCTTATAATCTATTAGATACACATATTATATATAATATATTAAAGATTTAACTTTTTTGTTGATTAAATGTATGTGAGATTTTTTAAAAATTCAAGTAAATAAAAAAAATATATTAAATATTTTTTGAGCTTATATAATTAAATTGATTATTAAGTTTCAACCATTTCTATTTGCAATAAATCTTTATCAAATATAGTAAGCATAATAATTATATCAATTAATAATATTATTAATGAACTAGAAATTGAATCAATTTGCAAATTCAACATTGTCTTCCTCTCCCAATGCCTTCTCTTCTTTCTCTCTTTGTTGTAGTACTTATAACATTTTAGATATACCAGCCCTCAATCTCAAAGACTTATGAATTGGCTTAACACTTCTTCTAAATAATATTCTTATGACCTTGGGACCAACCTCATCAATTGTCTTCAACCAACACACACACAAATATATATATATATTAGTTTTTTATTTTATCTTTGATTCATTTTGAGAGACAAGTTTATATTATCCTTGATTCATTATATATAGATTCTAGGTTGTAGTAGGAGATAGATTGATCTTTGGTTACTAGCTTTTTTTTATCTTTACTTGAATTAGTCTTCTATTGAACTTATCTTCTTTGCCTTGCTGGAACTTTTTTTTCAATTTTTTTATTAAATGTCAAGTAGATGCTAGAATATCTTTTTTAATTTGAAAGACAACATGTATGCACTTCCTCTCTTTAAAGCAAGTCATATAAGGTATTCAAATCTAACCCTAGTACTATAATAAAAATTCTACTCTATGTTTTAAATTCTAAGTTGCAATTAGAACCAATTTGGAGTATCAAGGTGAAAAATCTATCACAATATTTATATCTCTTTGGAATGATGCTCCAATTACATATAAGAACTACATTGGCTTCACTTCCTATTCTTACAAAAATTCATATTTCTTTTGATCCTTGCTTTGGATGTCTTCTAGAAGTTGCTAGAAATTACTTACCTATTATAACTATCAAAGGCCTAATAATGCTTTCTATTCTCTAAAATAACTTTATACCTTTGACGTTCTTAAAAGTAGACTAAAGACTTAGTAAAAGTACACCAAAGAATTAGTAGGGTGACTTCCTTGCTTGTACCTACTTTCTAGCCATTGATACTTTTGCAAATAGTGTTAAATTGTTGTCCACAAGAAGGGTGGAGATATGTACATCTACTTCTCCTTTCACCTTCAATACTATTCTCTTGCTCTCTTTTAAATTAAGATTATCTTCTTAGTCAAAATTCTCTTCTATGCCCAATAGTAACATTTTGCAGTGCTACTTTAGATCATTTTGTTTCTTTGTATTATCAAAACAAAGAATTTAAAAGAAGGTTCTAACCATACCTTTCATCAATTCCCTTTGGTCCTCTTATACCATAATTGCGTAGTTCAAACAACAAGCTGTAATTTAAATTATGCAGTTTATTAATGTAGGTTCTTATTGATTCATAGTTTGGTTCCAAAGCTAAGTCTTGGTGATCAACTTTAGATCGGTAATACAGAAAATACTAACTTCTTTGACTAAGATTGCATGTGTAATAGCTAAGGTGGTGTTGTATTGTAACACAGCCATTAGGAGAAAGAAAAAATGAATGATTATATTATAGAGAAGCTTAAATGAAAATATTATAGAAAATTAATTTTAAAATATAGATCAATAGACAAGAAAGAATAAACATCAATAAGTACTAATACTACTTTTTTATAAAAAAGAATTCTACTTATTTTTTAGGACCATAAAAGAAGCAAATTAAAATAGATAATAAAATTAATTAATATATTCATATTAAGAAAAAAAATAGGAATAATTTTTAGCTAAAATTAACTTAAGAAACAAAGAATTGATACTCAGAGAAGATTACTTGTCAATTAAGGTTGAAATCAAATCTTAAGGCACAAAATTGTGCACCTATGGCTATTCTAGGATTATTTGGTTGATCAATAGCAAGATTTGATAGTAGACTTGTGAGAGGTTTTTTTAGCATTAATTTTGAGAGATTTGAGTTTGTGTTGAATTTATAAAGGCTTTGCAAAGTCAAGGTTGTTTTGAAGTTACTTTGAATTTTAAAAATTATAAAAAATTTATACTTTGGATAATTGCGTGAGATTGATTAATTTTTTTTTTTTTGATTGCATGACATATGTCATTTTAATTTTTTTTGTAAATTTGAGCTTAACCTAATATTTTTTTTTAAAGGTTATTGGAATTCAAATATACTAGCATTTTAAGAATTGGAGTTTAGAGAATCAATGATAGTTTCTAAGATTTACAACAATTTGTTAATTGGATTAAATTAAATTTTGCACAATTGTAGATGACTTGATTTTAAACATCATTGTAAAGTATAAAAGATATTTAATAGTGGAATTAAGAGATATTGGCTCTAAAAGATTGACATCAAAGTTGGAGAAGGAGGCTAATTATTACTAGAGCAGATTTTAAGGTTTATCTTTTATTTGGATAGTTTGATCTTCTTCAAATATTTTGTGCTAATTTTTAATTTAGTAATTAATAAGTATGAAAATTTTGAATCGAATTTTATAGTTATATTATTAATTATTAAAATTTCAATCTATTATAATGCTAATTAAGAATTTATTTAAAGTTTAAAATTTGATTGATATTTTATTAAGGTTTCTTTTAGAATTTAGGAATTATTTAGAATTTATTTTAGGATTTAAGATTTGATTAGATCTTGCTTAAGGTTTATTCCAAGATTTAAGATTTCATCAGAATGTGATTTAGAATTTAGAATTTTATTAAAATTTGATTTAGGATTTAAAATTTGATTAAGATTTGATTAAGATTTATTTAGGATTTATTTAGGATTTATTTAAGATTTTTATTTAGATATTCCTTTAAGATTTCTTTGTTATTTTTTTAGATTTTTTGTAAAATTCTTTATGATTTTTTTATATTTCTTTTATAAAATTTTAAAGATTTTATTTAAATTTTAAAGATTTTATTAGATTTATTAAGATCTAATCTTTTAAGTATTTTATTAGAATTATTAAGACCTTGTTGTTGAAATTTTTATTTTACCTTCCTCAACCAATTGCTTGATGCATTTTCAAGGAAACTTTATGTAATACAACAACTTGAATATTGGCATGACAATTGGTATATTATATTTCTTTTCTGGCCTACTAAAGTTCATCACAAGTTTTTTAGAGTTGTCACTCCATCTCTTTTCATATCCATTCTTTTTCTTTTGCAAGAATAAATAGAATTTTGACTCAGTATAAGTGATAAAAATAAAGTGGCATAGATAATATATGACTCTTATTCATATTTGTTGGAACTTGTAGAATTGTATTAAGAAGCAACTTTTTCCAATTTGAAATTAGTATCTTAATAATAGCTCTTATTAAGATTATTTTTTAAGTCTTATTAATTTATTTTGGATGGTAGAAATAGATGATGTGAATTAATAATTCAAATACCTATCAATATTATATGTTTTATACTCCATTAATCTTGTATCCTTCTTTTAGATCATAGGAGTTGGATGAAAAGATTGTGGCTATTTTTGTTATCAT